AAAGACGTTATCTCGTTTGCCCTTGTTTCCCTCGCGATGTGATATGTAATAGCAGCGTTTTCGTTCACATCTTCATCCGTTGCGCTTACAGACAATATTGAGATTCCAGCTACGTTGTTTTCAGCAAGGTAAAAGTATAATGGGTTTTGGGAGAATTGTGGACTGTTATCATTTACGTCAGATATCTGAATGCTGAAGGTTTTAGATGTATATAAGGGAGGCTCACCACAGTCAATTGCCTTTATTGTCATTTCAAAATTAGACTTATTTTCTCGATCTAAAATACCTTTCGTGACAACTGAATATATGTTTTCTTTATAAGATGGATTTAACTCAAAGGGCCCATCAGTCAATAAGGATGCAATTATTTTTCCATTAACTCCAGAATCCTTGTCTGTCACACTAAGAAGTGAAATAACGGTGCCAAGTTTGGAGTCTTCGGATACAGTACTTGACAGTGACGTTAGATCAATTTCTGGTGGATTATCATTAACATCTTTAATTTTTATGATGATTCGACACTCGCCCATCAAAGGTGGGGTTCCTTTATCGGACGCTTCAACATCAAGTTTATAAACGTCATTATCTTCATAATCCACTACTCCTTTTACTTTAATTTCTCCTGTTTTTTTGTCCAATTCAAAAATGTCATAGACTTTCCGTTTTAAAGTTTTTCCAAGGCTGTATTCAATCTCTGCATTTATGCCGTCATCCGGATCACTCGCATTCATTTTAAATATTACAGTACCAACCGGAACGTTTTCTTGGATTAAAATTTCGTACGTCTCCTGACTAAACATTGGCCGGTTGTCATTACTGTCAAGAACACTAATAGAAACATTTAGTGTCCCTGATTTTGGAGGTTTACCCCCATCTACAGCTGTCACCACTAGATAATGCTTGTACTTTTGTTCTCTATCCAGTGACCTTTTCAGCACTAAAAACGGTATTTTTTCCTCGTCGCTTTGTCGAATATCTAATTCAAAGTGTTCGTTTGACGTTAACATATAGGTGCGTATAGAGTTAGTTCCAGCATCGGGGTCTCGAGCAGCGTGAAGCTGGATTCGCCTCCCTGGCAACGTCTGTTCAGCTATTTCAAATGACTGCTGTGTTTCAGGAAAACTCGGGGAGTGATCATTAACATCAGTGATTTCCACCACCACGTAATGCATCTCCAACGGGCTTTCGACAAGAATTTTAAGCTCCATCAGACATGCACCACTTCCATGACAGAGCTCCTCTCGGTCGATTTTCTTGTGAACATACAGAGACCCACTTTTCTGGTTTACCTCAAAGAAGGCGTCCTTAGTCCCAGACACAACGCGGATACGACGGTCAGTCAAAGAGGTGATGTCCAGGCCAAGATCTTTGGCAATCATGCCAACAACAGTTCCGTCTTTTACCTCTTCAGGAACAGAGTACCGGACCTGAGCCCAAGCCTCTTTCGCGAGAAGCAGCTGTGAGGCCAAATGAAAAGCTAACCAGAAGCAGCTCCACCGACGAGCTTTTGTAGCATTATCCATCCTTATCCACCAGCTCATACACACAGCAGGCTTTACTTCCACATATGGTCATTCATTTAAAACGTGCTGTAAATAGCATACTTGAGAACGCCAAGCGGCTGTCCATCGGCTGATGCAGATTTTAAAACCCT